ACACAGGCTGCTCTGACAGTGGGAGGCTCTCTACAGAGAGCCCATACTGCAAGTGACATTGGGTATAGGCAGAATATTCCACGGGAGCAAGTCAGGGCTCTCACCTTGAGAACAGCCATGCAAGGCTGGACATCGTAGGAATCAAATGTAAGAGGTCACTTTGCTGTGACCTGGAAGGAAAAGCACTAGCAAATGTGTTTAAGGCAAACATTTAAAGCCTTCATTTCTTCATTGGAAATGGAAACTTATACTTGATAATCTGAATTCTCACTCATCTTCAATACCCTGCCTGCTGTTTTTAGATGTTCCACTGCAGTAGAGAGGAGAGGGTGCTAGAGGACATTTGCCATAGGTTAGCTGTAGAGCCCTTCCTTAATCAGCATCTGCTTAGAGTTTGAATGATCACATTTGTCTGCAGAAACTGTGATGATCCCTCAGGAGCCCACAGACTGGCTTCCACCATATGAACTGATAGGTGTGTCTCCTTGTGTGTGGTGGGGTGGTAGTGGGGACTCCAGCTTGACAAATGACAAGCCAGTGAAAAAGGGTCTGCAAGTTCACAAGATCTGGGGCATCCTGACATGGTTGGAGTTGTTCAGCTGGCGTCCAGGACAGCACAGTCTGCGTGTTCATTTCCCCTTTGCTTCATGATTCAGCAGAGTGGACAGCTGCCGGAATGTGGAAGTTGTTTGAGGAAAACCACCACATGGAGCTCTCTGAGGCTGGATATTATATGTATGTAGAGCCACAGAAGTAAGTAGCAGTCCTCTTGTCTGGTTTATAAGGCATGGCAGTCACGGCCAGGCTTTTTAGGGAATCGGGATGGCACCCGAGCTTCTGAGAAAGGACTTCCTAATTGTTTGATCTGTTCAGTTTTGGAGACAGAAGAGGCTGAGAGATAAGCCTGGTATGTTGTTGTTGTTGTTTTAATTGTAAGAAAACCTATCAGGGGCCAGGGAGATGGCTCAGTGGGGAAAACGCTTGCCAAACTAGCCTCACAACCTGAATTTCATTACCGGAAATTGCACAAAGATATGAGAGAAACAGCTCCATCCGGTTATTTTCCAACCTCTATAGATCTCCACTCCGAGACATGACTGTCTTCTGACCTCTACTCTACACGGCTGTCTTCTGACCTCTATACACCTCTACTCCAAATGGCTGTCTTCTGACCTCTTCCACGGCACATGCCACGCCCCCTCCATCATGCACACATGCATAGTCATAACAAAATTTAAAAGCCATATGTGTTTTTAAAACTGATACTAAACTGAGGTTACTACCATGAAATAGCTGAACCCTAGTGAGCTTGCATCTTCAAAGGGAGATGTCTCGTGTGGAATAATTCACTCAAGGTTTGTAGCCTTTGGGGGCTGTCTCACTTCTCCAAAAGCCAAGAACCACACTGCCTTAGTTCCCAGCTCCACCTCTGCCCACACCCCACTGTGGTGTCTTTGGGTTTCCCCTCCCGCCAAAAACTCCATGGAAGGACCAGGTACCTAGCTTCAAGACTGCTCCTTAGTTCTAGCTCTGGCAAGACATTAGCAAGACTTGACTTCTAGATCCAATGTTCAGCCCACTCCATGGCTTCTCAGGCTAGATACCTCAAATGCAGTTAAAACAACAACAATAAAACACCAAAATCCCCCCTACTTAACCAGATGTGGAGGCTCACACCAGTAATCCCAGAACTTGGGAAGTGGAGGCTGGAGGATCAGGAATGCAAGGCCACCTCGGGCTACAAGAGATGTGCCTATAAATAAGTAACAAAAGAAAAATAATCAAATCAAAACAAAATTACTAGCTGAGAAGTTCATAAAATACAAACCATAAGAAATAGAAATAGATACAGATCTAGGGCTTTTTGGTTTGGGTTTTGGTTTTTAGTTTTTTGAGACAGGATTTCTCTGTGTAGCCCTGGCCTGTAGACCAGGCTGGCTTCAAACTCAGAGATCTCTGAACTCCTGAGTGATAGGATAGGATTAAAGGCGTGCACCACCATGCCAGGCTACAAACTCTAATTTTAATCTGTAACAATTTTTTTGTATTAGATTAAATGGGTCGAAGCACAGATAACTGTGTAGGTCAAAAGCAACCAAGTATTAGCAGTTTCATATGATTTCAGCTGCTGTGGTAGGCATTTGAACAAGGAGACAGAATACCAACAGCTTTAAAAAAAAAACATGTCTTTCTTTTGTAAAATATTTATTTATTTATGCATATTAAATAAATGCATGTTTTTCTGTAAAAAAAAAACATGTCTTTCTTTTGTAAAAGATTTATTTATTTATGCATATTAAATAAATGCATGTTTTTCTGTATGTATGTCTGCATACCCTAAGAGGGCATCAGATTCCATTTTAGATGGTTGTAAGCCACCATATGGGTTCTGGGAATTGAACCAGGTCCTCTGGAAGAGCAGCCAGTGCTCTTAATCACTGAATCGTCTCTTTCCAGCCCCCAGGGAAACAGCTTTAAATTGTGCTAGCACAGACTTCGTTGAACTTCTACTCAGAAGAACCAAGCCCTAGCCGGCAGTGGTGGTGCATGCCTTTAATCCCAGCACTCAGGAGGCAGAGGCAGGCCAATCTCTGTGAGTTCCAGGCCAGCCTAGTCTTCAAAGAGAGTTCCAGGACAGCCTCCAAAACTTACAGAGAAACCCTGTCTTGAGAAACAAACAAAACAAAACAAGCCCTGAAGACACAGCCTTTTGTCCTATCTTTGCTTTCTTGTCTTCCATACATGGTAACAGAATTTCATTGGCTATTTTGAAACCTTTAAATATACTTGCCAAAATTGAGAAGTGTTTGTTCTCTTCCTGTGGCCTGTGAGATTGGAGAGGAAGGAACAAAGGAAACAAGAAGGACACACAAACTTTCAGAAAATACCTTGTATTTGGTTAATTTTCTTTGTGTGTGTGTGTGCTGTTGTTGTTTGCTTGAGAAAAAAAAAGAACAATACAAACACAGATTCACCCTAAGCAATTCAAACATAGAAACACACAGCATAGGAATCAAATGTTCCTTATGATGCAAACAGACCCAAGCCCAATTACTTTCAGTATGCTGATATAGACTCTTTTAGTCTTTGATTTCAATGTATAAGCTAACATACTAATATATATGTGTCATTCTTTTTAATGGCTAGGAATCATCCTGTTACACAGGTATATTGTAACGTATTGCATTAATCCTTGTTCTGTGGATATTCGAGATGTTTTTAAACTCATGATTATGAGCAAGGCTGGGAACCTATTTACATAAGCCTTTGCAAACTTGTGCAGCTGTTTCTGAGGACAATCTAAGAAATCTTTCTAGGAACTGACACAAAGTAAATAATCATTTTATTTTATTAGATATTACAAAATTGTCATCTTAAAGGTTATATGCATTTGGCTCCCAACAGTGATGGTGGTCCCTGATCTGCCTGGGTGTGGTGGCTTTTAGAGGCAGTCTGTTCTCACCAGAGAGGTGGTAGAACCATGGTGCTCAACATTAGGCTCTGTGAATGTCTGTAGTTCACACTTTTCTCTGGTGTCTATTAAATTAACATTAATAGCAGCTTGAAGGTTTACCCAAAAAAGCCCACGTTTGCGCCTATCCTTGGGCCATTCTAAGTGTACTTGCTTTTCCAAAAGAGCTTTCAGCTTATGAAACCTGGGAGGAATGCAGTAAGAGGGAATGGGCTCCAGTAAGATGAGAATAATAGAATCGTAATTGTCATGGAAGGGATTGTGATGGGCCAGATAGAATTCATAATGGCACCACTCACTCTGGACAAAGTTGGGAGACAGCACAAAGATGGACTTACAGCTTTTCTCAGTGCAGCTTATAATATTTTCTGCAATGCTCCTGTAGGGGTCAAAGTTTCTCTCAGGAAGACAAATCAAGACATCTTCTGTCTGTAGATTGGGAATCAGTTCGTTCTTCACCCAGACTGAATCGTGTGCACAGTATGAGATAAATGTGTGGAATTGCACACTTCTCTTAGGTTCCTTTTGCATTGTCTTCCTAACCCTGTGCTGTATCTGTATCCACTGGCCCAGCATCCTGAGGTACCAGAGCAGGTCAAGGTTGAGCCAGCAAAACACTACAGCCATCCCCAGAAACAGCATGGCTAGCACAACGGTGACAATCAACAAAGTTGTGTTGCAAGAAAACTCGGGAAGATAAACATCTTTTAATGGAGTGCCTTTTAGACTCAAGGGGTATTCACAGATGTATGAATCTGGCCATCCAATCATCAAGCCTTCCGAATGCTTTTCAAGCCAAATGAAATCTCTTAGTTCACAAGAACATCGGAATGGATTTCCTCCTGCATTTAGAGTCTTTAGTTCCTGGCAGCTCCGAAAAAAATCCAAAGATGGGCTGAGAATTAAATTCATTTCAATATTCAGCATAGAAAGGCTTGTGAAATGACTGCACCCAGGGAGGTCAGTTAGAAAATTAAATGCAACACGAAGCTCTCGTAAAGCGCTCAGGTGGATGGTCTCTCTAGGGACAGCTTGAATTCTGTTATGGCTCAGGTCAAGCGTTTGAACCTTTCTGGGCAAACACCAGAAAACAGAATCTTCAAATTTATTGGATGACAAGTTCAAAAGGGTCAAGGTGTCTGGCCACAGGCAGGGCTCCTCGATTTCATTTTGTAGCAGGTTCTGGCTCAGATCCAAGTGAAGCAAGGGTGTGCTGTTGGCAAAGACACTCACCAAAGAAAGACTCTCCAGCTTGTTGCCCCTCAAAATGAGGGTTTTCAAAGAAGGCAGCTGGATGGGGTTCTTAAACAGGTCATCTGTTAAGATATTATTGGCAAAATTTAAATATTGGAAACTCTGGGGGTGACTAGGGAAAAGCAGATGTGGCATTTGTGCATCTGATATGGTCAGGTTTTCTATATCCATTTGGGTGAAAAGCAAGTAAATTCTATCCTGGGGAATATAAAAGATTCGGAAATGTATGTCCTCCAATATTATAGCTTTCATTACAGTATTTGAGTAGTCAAATGAACTGTGGTCTAGATTAGCCATCCCTCCAAAAGTCAAGTCCTGAATCCGGAAGTACTCTACTGACGTCTTCCACACGAACTGGAAGATGAGGAGAAGGTCATCCCAGAGCAAGTCAACTTTGTGAAATATCAGAGTTGATGCCTTGGTATTCTCCACAGTAAGATTCCATGGAGTCTCATAACTAAGAAACTGGCTCTTGCCATCTATATTTGTCATTTCTACTACTTTTGAAGTCTTCATTCCATCACACAAAAGCACCCAGAAGTTTGTGTTCATTGGCAAAACGATGTGAAGGGCTGTTGTGTTTAGGATGGGCAGGCTGCCTTCTTCATAATGAGAAAGAGTCCTCAGACCTAACAAGACAGCCCTGAGATGCAAATGAGCAATTTTCTGGAGATCTGATTTTTGTATTTTTGCCCCACTCAAACCCAGGGTTTCCAGATGTGGCATGTTGCCAATGTCTTCACAGGTAGGCAGTGTGTCAAAGTCATTAAAAGAAAGATCTAAGTGTCTGAGACCTGCCAGAGAAGACCAAATTATGACTTTCAGCCTATTGTAAGACAAGTCTAAATGGCTTAACTCCCTGTTCAGGTCAAAGACCTTGGTATCCAGCTGTTGGATCCTGTTATGGCATAGTATCAGAAAACGCAGTTTGGAGAAAGAGTGAAAATCGGAACTCTGGAGTTGAAAGAGGAGATTATAGGATAAATCTAGTATGGTCGTGGCTTCAGTCAAGTCTGGAGGAATCTCCCTTAAAGCCATGTTGGAGAAGTTGGAAATCAATTCCCTTTCTTCTGGCAGCCTTGGGGCCCAGGCTTCTGTGGACATAATGATGTTATAAAGCATATAGATGCTGCTGATGAATCTCATTGTATTTCCAAGGGTTCTACCACTTGTTTCCTCATATGAAGGATGAACGTGAGTTTAAATCCCTGGAAAACAGCACAGAAGGGTGAGTTGTTGGTTTGTTTTTTTGTTTTTGTTTTTGTTTTTTTTTGTTTTGTTTGTTTTTTGCTGCAAACTGCATGAGGCTTTATTGTTGTTTAATGAGCTAACCCCATGTTAGCTCGGGTCTTTCACCCACCAGCCATGGCAGATGGCTAGCAAAGACCAAAGGGTGAGTTTTTAATGGGTTCACATACTGGAGGACTTTAATTTTTTAAATCCCAATATCTAACTATAGTCATCGATAGACATACTGCATCTTTTACTTCATCTCCGAGCTTTGGTTGATAGATCTCAAAGCCAGTTACTGCGTGCACCACAGCCCTGACATAGGGCCAGATCTGCAGGGAGAGCACAGGGGTGGGAGAAGCATCTCTTCTCTGCATTCTTTAGGGACTGTCTTGTCAGGCCATGCTCCACCCCCCAACCCCCCCTCATCCCAACTGATAGCCTGAGGGTTTTAAGAAGCTTGGAAAGGAAGAGATGGATGGCTCAGTGTCCAAGAGCCCTTGTTGCTCTTGCAGATGACCTAGGTTTGATTCCCAGCATCTACATCAGGTAACTCATAACTCCCAGTCACACTAGCTTCAGGGTATCTAATGCCCTCCTGTGACCTTCAAGAACACGTGCACACACATAGTGCACATACTTACAGGTACATATGTATACACACAAACAACTAATCTTTAAAAATATGGATAGTAATATTTTATTGCCCAATATTGTATACCCTGAATTCTTGCCACAGAGTGACTAGCCAGCCCCTTTTGTGGGTAGAGAGTTCCTGTGCAGGGGGATGAAGAAGTCCTGAGTAAATGTAAAAAGTGGATGGAGCCTAGAGTCAAAGTGTATTGTTGGAGTGGGCACAGGGATTTTCATCATATCTTCTGTTCGAGACACATGTCAGGTATTTGCTCTACAAGGGATTTGTCTAGGCACTGGGGAAACATCATTGCACGGGACTGGAGAATTCCATTCCTACAGCCCTTACAATCAGACAACAATCCAGAGAGTAAGGAGAGATGCTGTATACAATAATATGTATACATCAGGTGCTGATAAGGACTCACGGGAAGGGTGATTACAGTGAAGGTAACAGGATGTCTGTAACACGTGCAGGTAGATATGGTAGGGAAATAAAACAGAGAGCTATTTTCTTTTTTCCCTCCCACTCAATGGAGAAACTAAAAAAAAAAAATGTGGATACCCCTCCAAAAGTAGCTTAAAAATAAAAACACTATGTTGTTTTAGTCCATGTTGCTGTAACAAATCACTACAGGCTGAGTAGGTACCACAACCAACAGGCAGTTACCCCTCACAGTTGGTTATTGAGAAGTCAAGATCCAAGCAGGGTGGTGGTGACACAGAGGCAAGCAGATCTCTGGGAGTTTGAGGCCAGCCTGGTCTACAGAGTGAGTTCCAGGACAGTCAGGGCTACATAGAAAAAAAGAAGCCAAGATCCAGGCAGTGGACTGAGCACCTAGTAAAAGGCTGCCTCTACTTCACACAAAGGAGGGGACAGGAAAAGAGAAAGGGGGAGTAAGGGGATCAAAAGGAAGAAAATCTATACAGCTGTGAGGTACAGATAGCCTTTTATTTGGATAATTTCTGCATTTTATAAAAAATAGTTATCCATATTGTTTGTATAATTCCTATATTCTATTAGCTTTTGCTACTGGTAAGACTTCTCAAAGGTCCTAGAAGGCTAACTAATTCTGGTGAAGTATCCATTTCTTAACCATATAACTGTCAATGACCTAAGAGGCCTTCGGGACTATTTTTCTTTGCTTATGTATTAGTGGCTTTCCTAGAGTGCTACATGCACTAAAACATTATAGGCTTTTAATATGTAAATATGTCTTAATTATCTTAAGTGAATTTAGTTCCTGACAGATTTTTAAACTGTTATACATATATTTAAGGGTAAGTGTTCTGTATCTACTTCAAAATATTCCCAAGATGCTAGTTTGTTTTTTTTTAAAACTTGCCTAAAGGGGTAATTACTTCTCAAAAGGCTGTGTCTGTGGCATCTAATATGTATCTATGAAGTTACATTTTTTTTTCCATTTCCTTAAAACTACATGTTAAATATTGGAAGATCTTTCAGGCCAGCAAGATGGCTTATTAAGTAAAGAAAACACACAGAACCAACTAACATCGGCTCATATGGGCTCACAGTGACTGAACTGACAACCAGGGAGCCTGCATGGGACTGACCTAGGCACTCTACATATATGTTGCAGTTGTGTAACTTGGTCTTTCTGCAGGACTCCTAGCAGTGAGAGTAAGGGGTGTCTTTGACTCTGTTGTCTGCTTTTGGTACCCATTCCTCCTGCCAGACTGCCTCACCCAGTCTTGGTGGAAGAGAGGGTGCCTGGTCTCACTGCAGCTTGTTATACTATGGCTGGCTGATACAGGATACCCACATTAGAGGAGTGGATGGGATGGGGGTGGGGAGGAGAAGGGAGGTTGGGAGAACCAGGAAGAGGGGAAGCTTCAGTTAGGATGTAAAAACAACAACAAAAAGAATAAAAGAATCAGGATTTACTCAAGATAGGAAAAAAAAAAAAAAAAAAGGAACTTGCTGCCAAGCCTAAAGTTTAGTCCCAGAGCACCACACAGTGGAAGGGAACAATGAACTCTCCTGTGACCTCCACGTGTTTGTGTATGTGTTTGTGCACTGTGGCACAAACACATGCATAATCAATAAACGGAAAACAAAATTTAAAAAAGAAGATCGCTCATGGCACTTGTTGCATACAGTAATTTCCATGCATTCAGTGTCTCTTCTGAAGTTCTCTTCACTTGCAGATCTGCACTCAAGTCCAAAGTTAACTAGTCATAGGCTGTGCAACTGTTAAGCCATCATTTAACGTTTAAAATGTTTTCCATTCATACATTGAGGCTTGTGCAAAGGTGCCTAACAGATAAGGTCCTCTAGCAGTACACTGACCACATCACACAATCGGTATCAGCTATCATGGATGAGAGCAGGACAGGGCAAATGATGTACCACTTTTAAGGCTTTGAGAAAGAACTCAGTCTTCAGGATGAATAATGCTTACATCAAAATTAATGTGAAACCTACATTAAATAAACATCAAAACTTTTCACAAAGAGTAGGTACTCTGGTTTTCTCCTAGCCCCCAGGCTCTATTTTGGTTTGACAAGATCACTGGGTTGATAGAGGCGATGTCAGTGTTTTCAGCTCACAGAGCTCTTTTAAATCTGAGAGTCACTGCGCCCCCCCCCAAAAAAAAAAAAAAAACAACACAGCGACTCCACCCTGCTACTCTGTGTGGCATTCCTTGGACTGAGAGGTCAGAGTTTCCATCTCTCAAGCGATGCTTCCTCCTAACCAATACCACAACCTGATGTGGAGTTATAATGAGAGAGGAAGCAACTCCCACTGAACTTCTCTTAATTTAAGATAATAAAAGTTCCTGTCTCTCAGGCAATTGTCTGTGTTGTGGCATCTCATTAACGCATTCTGAGAGTAAGGCATAAACATTATATATTGTTGTTCGGAGTATTAAATCGGGGCCACGGGCATGCTAATCACACATTGTACCACTGAGCTATGGCACTCACCCAACATAAGGCTTCATGGAAGATGCATCCAGTAAATAAGTAGTATATATTGTCACTCCATTGGCACTATTGCCACTATGTTGAAAGCAATTAAAAAGCAGAGAAACTCCTCCATTCCCAGATTATGATGCAGAAGTCCAGCCCAAAGAGACTACACAACAGGAGTTGGTGGTTTGCCTAAGAATGTATCCTGAGTTGTTTTCCCTTTAATAATCCAAGTAAATGGAGAAAAGCTTACAAACCCACCAAAGGTTGAATGATCTTGCAATATGAGAGTAAGGAAGACCTTTTTTTTTTCTTTTTTCTTTTTTCTTTTTTCTTTGTGTGTGTGTGTGTGTGTGTGTGTGTGTGTGTAACTTGTCCAGGGCAGCCAAGAAAGTAGTAGAATAGGGATTTGAATTTGAATGTGTCTGGTCCCTTCTGGGTGGGAGTTAAATCCCAGCTAAGAGTGTTTTCAAACTCTCAAAGCTGCTGCTTAGGCTGTGATGACCCAGGTGGGTTCCACTCACCTGGACAGCTGCTATGGGGGCTTCCTTCTCTCACCCCAGTGTCTTCCCTGGCTTCAATACGCTGCTGTGATGGGATGTGTCAGAGAGACTTTGCCTGCATGTAAATACATTGAGAGTTATTAGTTCACAGGCTCAGCCAAAGTACTCAATGCTCTTGTAGCCTCAAATTCCTTGATGTGACCCAGACACCACAGAAGCCCCTCAGCCATCTTTGGCTGCTTCAGGTGTCTGGAGCATCCTTTGGAGCAGAACTGCAGTGTTCAAGACCCATCCCACCTGCTCCCACTCTTTAGACATATTATGAAATGCAGAACTTCCCAACAGTAACAGAGCTTTAGGTTGGTAACAAAGAAACTCACCGCAATCCCTAGGACCATCCACAGTGGACAGAATAGCTGGCCAGGTGCAGTCCACAGTGAAAATAAATTCAAACTCCCAAGTTCCCGAAAGATAATTCTCAGATCAATATCAGCCCCATGATCACTAACCATTCATCTTTACGAATAGTAGGAAAAAAATCTAAGTCTGCATGTTCTCATCTGTATTAGCTCTTTGGAGAGATTCATGCAACTCCTATTTCTTTTTTGTGAGTGTCTCAGCAGTTCTTAGCCCAGCTTGCAGTCTTCTGTCTCAGTGGAGATGGAGGTGTGTGGATTTCTTAGACAAGGTCAGAAGAGGCTGTGGGAACAGTTTGAATCAGAGTTTCCTGTGAGGTTCAGACCTTCCCCCTCTGCTGCATGCCAGTGACATTACATGTCACATCAGCTAACATGGAAGAGCGCTTCTTTTTTTTTTTTTTTAATTTTGGCAAAACACACATTAAACTTGCCTTTTAAAGACTGTAATTCTGGGGTGTTAAG